CAGTTCTGCTCCGAGTAGACAGGGGTTAGCGCAGTGTCTGGCACAATCCCAAAGCCAGGAAGGATGGGCATGGTTGCTGTGGCCCATCAAGCAGATTCTGACTCATGCCAATGCTACTAGGCACAGTAAAACTGCCCTGTGGAGTTTTCTGTCCTGTCATCTTCAATGAAGCCCCCCTCCAGTTCTTTTCTCCCACAGAGTAGCTAGTGGGTCTGAACCAGACCTTTTTGTTAGTAGTTAGTTAGGTAATGCCTTAAACAGTGTTCTCGATTTTACCTCTTGCGATTCTAATATCCATTACAAAATTCACGATTAAAGGGTTGTTTAAGGAAGCTAACAAGTTGTCCTGGCAGGGAGATATACTCAGGGTTGAGTTGTTTATCAGGATATGTCACAAAGTTCTTCCAGGTCTGCTAATGAATGCCAAAGGGCCATACTACTCTGCTACAAGCCTCACCCTGAAGGCATTCAGCTCAAGCTCCCTGGGTCAGCAAACCCAGCTCCTTGAATTAAGTGTCCAGAAGCACCAAACCCTAATCAACTGCATCCCAAAGGCACCCAGCTCCACTTCCTTGGGTCAGCAAGCCCAGCTTCCTTTATTAGGTGCTTAGAACAGCCCGCTCTGTAAGCCAGCGTCCTGCACCAAAGCACTCAGCTTTACTGGCTCTGTCGGTTGAGAAGTGCATCATTCTGTTCCATGCTCTGGCTCTTGGTGTTGCTGCTGCTCCTCTGGTGGTAGAACTGTCTTCTGGATCCAGGAGGTTCACTGCAGGGGGGAACTCAGGTCCAGAGGACACGCTCCGCTCCTGGCCCATGCTGGTAATGAGATCTCTCCTGCTTCTCAGAGGGCTCATTTTATACACAGCAGGGTACCACTCCAGGGAATCCCGTTTGCAATCACTCATAAGTGAATCATATCAATATCTCCCCCCATCTTCTTCCCAGACCCATGCAGATTAAGCTCGTTTGGTGGGACTCAAGAGACTTGGGTGAGACGAGCCATATTAAATAATTCACTGCCCCTGCAGTGCTCAACCATTGTGCCACCACAGTGGGTAGGGCTCCGTTTCGTAGAGATATATCTGAAAAATGGCCTTCATAATTTCCAGGAGAAGGAAAGAAATAGGCCAAGATGGTTCAAATAGTGGGGTGGGGGTGGGAGGAGGGAGGAGGGGTGGTTAGGCCCAGATTGGGAAAGATTATTTCATTATCTGGCCTGAAGAGTTGGGTTTTCATTCACAGTGGATACCATAGCATTGGAGATTCTTAAATAAAACTCTATAATGCTGGGAATAATCATAAAGTCATTTAGACGAGCATCTTTTTTTTGTTGATTGAGAAAGCTGACTTCTCGAGAAGTCAAATGGTCCGGCTGACAGTCGTCGAGTTCGTGAGAGTGTTACAGAGAAACCCAGGGTCTCCTTAGGGCAGCGCTGGGCTCAGCTGGCTCCCGTCTCAGGCCACCCAGCACTTGCAGGTGTAAGTGCGCACAGCTGCGCATGACAGCTGTGGTAGCAGCGCTGTGTTGGCAGTATACCTGTAGCATCTCTGGGATTGAAGCCACTCAGACCACTCAGTGTCTCTGAACACACAGCCAGGGCAGTGCCACCTCAGCTGTTTTCAGCTGCAGCCCCGTGGCTTCAGTGTGAGTTCTTCTTGGGCAAAGATGCCATGCTACTCTGCGTTCCCTTTGATTTGGGTCTGTGCTAATCTTTTACATTTCACCGTTGGTAAAGTCTTTGCCACTAGGGAATGCCCTAGTGACAATCCTGGCCATATTCGCCTCTGTTGCTCTTAGTGCTTGTGGGTACTGCTGGTGTCGGTAGGTGTTAGGCTTCCCCTCAGGACGGTCCCAGGTAGACTAGAAGGCAGTGGTGCCCGCTCCATCTTCCTGCTTAGTCACTTGCTGAAGTCCATCGTTGCAGCCATGTGTCAACCCGTCTTCTGAGGGTCTCCCTCACCCTCCGTGGCCCTCCACCGTGCAAAACATGAGGCTCTTCTTTAGTGATCAGCCCTGCCTTGAGGATACGTCCAAAGTCAGTGAGCCAAAGGATAGGGCAGTAATCTGCCTTTCCAGTTGTTTTCATTGGCAAATTCGCGAAAATGTTCTTCTTCATCTGTCTTTGTATGGAAGGGCCAGGGAAAACTGCCCACGTTTTCAACGGGTAGTTTCAACCCTGCTGGTAGTTGAAATGCTGGGGGGGGCATCGCTTCTATAGCAGCTCCCTAGCACTATGCAGCACACCAACCACTGCAGTGTGACACACTGACAGAGGGGTGGCAGTGCCTTTGGACAGTCGAACCCCGCTCTTCTCCATGACGCATGGGGACACTCCCCACTATGCAGATCAGAGGCTCTCGATTGTTCATTCAGGCCAACCTGCATAGAAGTCTCCTGGGTTGGTCTGACTTATAGGTAAGCAGACTGAGTTTTTAAGAGGTTAACTCTCTCATCAAGGTGTTTTATCAATAGAAGTGGAATTTAAACTCTGCTGCTGTTTGGGGGAGAAGGTTAGGTGAATGTGGGTGATTCAAGCAATATAATGGGATTTTCCTTCTTTTTTTTAAAAGGAAAATGGTTTTATGATTTCATAAAGAGAAGTTGCATAGAATGATGGAGTGGAGCATGAAATTCTCTGACCTTGATTTACCAGATGGTTTTTATGGGAAAGCCTGGTTCTTGAGATTTTAATGAGTTTTAAATGCTTTTGGTTGTAAACATCTGCATTAACCCACTGTCGTATCTAGATCCACTGGTATTTTAATATTCCTCAATGGTGTTCTCACTTTTTAGGTGTAATCCTACACAGCCTTAATAGGATTGTATCTCTCTTGAGTGACAATCATGTGCTTTATTTTGTCGTAGTGAAAAATTCCGATCATTCTGGAATATGCACAAGGACAGTAAAAACTCAGATAGCAAGGATCCCTAGTGATGCAATGGATTAAGTATTTAGACAGGTAACGGCAAGGTCAGCCATGTAAACCCGACCGCCAGCAGTTTCCAGGGCTGCTGCTCCTGTAAAGATTCCCACGACCTTGGAAACCTGACTGAGCAGTGTGGCCCAATGGCTGTGGGAGTGAGTGCTACAGGGGGGATTCCCAAATTCAAGGGGAAATCTCACTATCTTCAAATTCTATTTTTCCACAAACTTTCTGAAGCCAACTGAAACTCAGTACCATTGAGTGAGCTCTGACCTGTACCGACCTTGTGTCGGGTTTGGGGGACTATAAATCACTGTGGGAGCAGGTGGCCTCCTATTTCTCCTGAGGACAAAGGTGGTTTCGTAGTAAACTATTTCTTTCCATGTAGGATACTCAAGTTAGATCCCTAGTCAGTGCACCTCAGGAATAGCCAACACCCATCTGCCCGTGGGAGCCGAACAGGTTTCAGCGGAGCTTCCAGATGAGGGCAGAGTGGAACTACTTTGGAGAATCAGCCAGTGAAACCCATATGGTCACAGCTGACTGGCCTTCAACTGATCTCAAGAAGACTGCAGCTCTGGACAGTGGTTCATTCTATGGGGTTGCCATGGGAG